TGGTTGGAAATGAGAGATGGGTGGACATTAATACATTCACTCACACCGCATACAAGAGATGGATGGAAGTTGTATTAATATACGGTTAAAATAATAACAAAACCGGTAAAAAATAACCTAAAACATTATTATTTCTATCTAAAACATCAATATTTTTTAACATTTTCGATAAAATAACGTCTTTTTTAATCATATATTAAGATGTCGTACGTGATTATTTCCCCAAGAATAGAGATGGTTAAAATCCAAATCCGTCGGGACTTAACCCCACTCAAATATATAGGGACAATTTTTTTTTATTTCGGGATCGAGGTGGGATAGAACGAGTTATATGGTATAAAGTTTTGAGGTGAAGCGGGTTCGGTTTTAAGGTGAAAAATACTGACCCGACCTGACCCAATTATTCATTTATATATATATATAATATTTTAAAATTTTATTTTTATAGTATTGAAATATATTATTTAATTATTAAAAATATTAAATTGAATACAAAATATATTAATTTAATCTTTTAAAATATAATATATTATTATAAATATATTATTTTAATTATTTAAAATATTAATATATTAGGATTGGGTCAAATCGGGGTCAAGGTATTAGTCTAAAATCGGGATGGAAAAAAACCTAAAATTTATCGGGACATGGCGAGACCCGTTTTAGGTATATATTTTTGGTGGTTAGGTAGGCCAAAAAACCGCCCTATCCCAGGGTAGGGAAGTTCAATCAATTGGTTTGGTTAACTGATCGAATTGAATTATCTAAAATTTATTAACTAATTTTTTAAATTGTTTATTGAATCAATTTTTCAAAAATTTGTAATGAATTGAACAAAATTTAGTTAATTCGGCTGGTAAACCTAATTAACTGAAATCTTTGTATTTTTAATTTTTTTATTTTTAATTAGATTAATTTAAATTTATTAGTGTGTTTTCTCATTTAGCTTAAAATTTGATTGGATATTTAAAATTTGAGTAAATTACGTGTTTAGTACCAAACTATCAGTTTTGGCCCGTTTTAGTACCTAAATTTTCATTTTTTAAAACCATATCTAAATTTAGTTTTTGTTTCATTTTAGTCTCTCATTCAAAATTTAACGTTAAGTTTTAAAAACAAATGAAAATTTAGATACTAAAATGGATCAAAACTGATAGTTTATGTATTAAACATATTAAGTTTTTAACGGTGGAGTACTAAAATGAAATGAAAACTAAATGTTAAATATGATTTTAAAAAAATTGAATGTTTAGGTACTAAAACAGACCAAAATTGATAGTTTAGTCACTAAATGTGTAGTTTACCCTTAAAATTTTAATAGGTTTAGTATTATTAAAAAAATAGTAGGATCTTAATTATTAAGGAGTTTGAGCCTAAAATATATATGTAAAATATGTAAAATGTTAAATATTTAATAATTTAGGTTAATTCGTTTAATAAATTGATTTAAAACCGAATTAATGAATAATCAAACTTTAGAAAATTTCTTAACCTTTAATCAAATTAATATCAAATTAACCGATTGATTAACTGAACTAAATTTTGATTCGATGAGTTAATTCGTTTAAAACCAACAATGAATACCCCTACTACCGAGGGTACGCAAGCGCAGGGCCTAATGATGGTTCAGTTGGTGTCTTGCATACGAAATGCTGAATGATGGCAAAAAAGTGGGGTGTTGCCTGGAGCAACCCTAGAGGTGCAGACAGCAAGGTATTCATTTACCTGCAATAGATTGAACCATTGAAACGTAATTATTGGATGATGAACTACATGCAGGTCAGCAGGTGTACACTAATATCGTGGATGCGAATATTGGTTGGGCTCAAATAAAAAATGGAGCTTGATGAGGTCAAGTTATGACGCTGTTAGGTTTGGATATACAGAGAGCAGGAGTTGTAATTGATGATCCAAAAGCATGCTCACCAACAGTGACTGCATATATTGAGCCTAGTGGTGGATCCACGTTTAGTCTAGTTAGGGTGGGCACCTGCTCAAAATCCGAATTTTCTTCTGTTATTCAGTTTATTGATTATGTCCATCCTGAAGTTCGTATTTGCCCGCTCATGGCCTCATAGACTGCGCCTATCAATGTCATTCCCGGCTGCATTACTACTATTATTACCACTAGTACCATAAATTTGACAGTCAGCGGATAAGTACGTGTGTCTTCAAGTTCGGGCCTTCAAAATTATGTCATCGCCATGCATGCATGCATGCCTGGCTTGTTGTATGATACTATATTACTATATAAGTACGCGTCTTCGTTTTCTTGATAGAAAGTATGGTAAGAAGAAACTGTTTTGAATTTCACACCATGAAAGGCTTTTAAGCTGTTGAACCATTTGGAGCCACATCGATGCACCGGCACCGGCATCCTCATCGCCATGATCTTCAAATGTTTGGGAATGTTACTGTAAGTTATAGCTCTGCAACAACAGCAGGAGGCTAATTATAATCACTGCAACAGATAGTGTCAAGCACATGCAAAATCGGCGTCGTTATCAAACTATTTGCCGGCGTTTCGACGAAATCTGTCGATAATTAATGGGTTGAAGATGAACATCAGCGCAGCAAAGAGAGAATCCAACACACATAAAAAGAAGGAACTGCTGCCATTGTATATAATATTGCCCGTCTGCCCTTGGCTGGACAGATCATACCATGAATGCACCTTTCGGAAAGTACTTTGATTGGAGCCTCAATGCCATCTGTTTGAATTTGCAGACGCTCCAAAGCATTAGCCCAAGCGAGCTTCAATCCCTCTTAAGCATCCCTTTAACCCCGCTTGCAAAACTCAGCTGACGCCAACGCTCTTCTTGGTTCTTCTACTTCAATTGTTTTTACCTTATTCTTTTAAAAAAATTAAGGGTGTATTTTGATTTAAGTAAATTCAAATTATTAATTTTGTTTCTGATTTTTAATTGCATTAATTTTGTTTCGAAGTAATTAATTTTATAAATTTTATTGTTTAATAAACGTTGATCGTTATAATGCTAATAAGATAGTTAATAGTGTTGATTTTATGGTCTACTATATTGATGTGGTAACCTACCGTGACAGTCTACATATTTATAAAAAAATGAAATTTTTAGACCTTTGGATTTGATTTTGATATGAAATTTATGTTTTTGGATAGTTTTATTACTTCTCTCGATTCTAATTTATGGTTTGTTGGTGGTCTTTTAATAGTTTGATATACTTTTATGGTTCATTTGTCGTTGTTGTTGGATTTATTTGTATATACATTTTATTCAAGTTTATTTGGTTAATTTTTTAACCTTTTCTTGTACGTACGGTTCTTATATCATCTTAATTGACTATTTTATTTTGTTAATAATTATATAAAATATCCTTTTTATATATTTAGTTTATGAATGTAATTATAAATATTCATTGTAATTTGAATATTTTTTTAATTTTTAACAAAATTAACTGTTTTTATCTTATAAAATAAACATCCAACGTATTATCATTGATTTTTTTTATAAAAAAAATTGAAAAATAGTTTTCGAGAAACATGCTTGGTCTCGTACGTAGGGGTGAACGTTTGATCTAGTCAAGTCGAGTCAAAAACTTTCTTGTTATTTAAGTTGATGAGTCCTATTTTACAACTTGAAGTTGACTTGAAATTTTTTCGAGTCGAATCGAATTTTGAAGTTTGTGTTTAAATTTAATTATCAATATTTATAATATTATGATATTATTTTATTTCAATTTAAATGGTTTTTTATGGTCATATACAATACACATATATATAACAATCCATTCTTGTGTATTTTTGATAAAAATACAATATATGTATATTTTTTCATATGTGATATACATATATCATACATAATTAAGGGGCTCAACTCAAACTTGAAAATTCATCCACTAATTACTAAAAATTTCGAGTTATACGAGTTGTATTTTACAACTCGATTTGAACTTGAATTTTTTTGAGTCGAGTCGAGTTTATGAAATTACAATTCGAAGTTTTCGAGTCTAGTTTTTTTAATCGAGTCTAGTAAAAAAATCGATTTCTCTAGTCAAATTGTGTCGAGTTTTGCTCACCCTACTCGTACGTGATATAAAACAAATATATAATCAATACGATGGTCAATAGCAGCATTACATATTTTATTAAAAAAAAGAAAAGGGCAAACTACTCATTTAGTACAAACTATTAGTTTTAATCCATTTTAATACTTAAACTTTTAATTTTTTTAAAATCATGCCTAACATTTAGTTTTTGCTTCATTTTAATACCCCACCATTAAAAACTTAACGCGTTCAGTACCTAAACTATCAATTTTGGTCTATTTTTGTACTTAAACTTTCAATTTTTTTAAAAAAATTGACATTAAATTTTGAACTGAAGTACTAAAATGAAATCAAAACTAACTTTAAGTATGATTTGAAAAATTAAAAGTTTAATTACTAAAACAGACTAAAATTGACAGTTTAGTACTAAACACATAATTTACCCAAAAGAAAAACTAAAGTTACGACGATGGAGGAGAACTCTATTGATTTAATTTTTTTTGGATAAGTTACGTGTTTAATATTTAAATTATTAATTTTAATTCTTTTAGTAGTTAAACTTTTAATTTTTTAAAATTATACTTATTGTTTAGTTTTTGTTTTATTTTAGTATTTACCGCTAAAAACTCAACGTGTTTAGTACCTAAACTATAAGTTTTGACCCATTTTAGTATCTTAACTTTCAATTGTTTTTAAAAACTTAACTTTAAATTTTTAACGGTATACTAAAATGAAACAAAAACTAAACATTAAGCATAATTTTTTTAAAAATAAAAATTATGTACTAAAACATATTAAAATTATTACTAGTTTAGATACTTGTAGTTTACACTATTTTCTTTTAGTTAATGAAATCTCGGATTTTGGTTATATATTATAGACCGTGAAAATATAATAAGTCTACAATTTAAATTAGCGGTTAAGGATTATGCTCCCTGTCTATTACACTTTGGTTACAGGCTTAATTGAGTCTTCTTTTAGTGTTCCTCTTTCTTCTGCCCCTCTTATTCAATGGCTACTCTTCAAGTTTCCATTGTATTGGTTATGTTCTTCCTTCAACTGTTCTATGGTCACAATCATTTTTCTGATTGATCTCTCATGGTTGTTCTTGTTGTTGTTGGTTTTAATTGGTTTCCATATTTGTGTTACAGGTGCTCGGTCGTCGACATTTACGATTGCAAACAAATGCAGCTATACAGTTTGGCCAGGGGTGTTGTCAAGTGCTGGAATCCCACCACTTTCGCCCAAAGGTTTCGTTCTTCAACCAGGAGAATCGACATCTATTGGTGTTCCGGCATCTTGGTCTGGTCGGCTATGGGGTCGAACGCTTTGCACCAAAGACTCCTCCGGGAAAATTTCTTGCCTCACTGGGGACTGCGGCTCGTCTAAACTAGAATGCTCGGGAGCCGGTGCCATCCCCCCTGCTACTCTTGCGGAGTTCACATTGAACGGTGCCGGTGGATTGGATTTCTACGATGTTAGCCTTGTCGATGGGTACAATCTACCAATGATGATCGTTCCACAGGGTGGAACGGGCGGTAATTGTAGCTCAGCCGGATATGCTGCGGATTTGAACGGTGATTGTCCTCTGGAGCTTAAGGTGGTTGTGGGGAGCCAAGGAGTGGCGTGTAATAGTGCATGCAATGCTTTCGGCGACGCACGATATTGCTGCAGTGGAGCATATTCGACTCCGAATGCTTGCAAGCCGAGTTCTTACTCGGAATATTTCAAGGTTGCCTGTCCTACAGCTTATAGCTATGCCTATGACGATGGAACCAGTACCTTCACTTGTGCTGGTGCCGATTATGTTATTACTTTCTGCCCTACCCCTTCCACCTGGTACTAATTGCATTGCAAGTTCCTTGTTTATCATGATTAGTTTCAGTCATTGAAGTTCCTTGGAACAATCTGGCATTAACCAATCATCATCAGATCTAACTTATTCAAAATTTGTCACCGATATCGGTTTTTCGTTAGCAGTATTAAGTCGTCCAACTCCAATCCCGTGGCGGTCGATGTCTCAGCCGGTTCCGGTCCTACATCATCGGCTCTCATTGCTGGTGCATTCACCACTTTGGCCGCAGTATGGCTCTCTTGAAACTATTGTAAAATACAAGTACAAAATGACAGTGGTTAGTTGGCTAACGTTAATGCTTTGTTGGTTAGTGTTGTCATTTGTCTCCATTTTCTCATACGGAAGTGCCATTTCTTCTTTTTAATATATATATATATATATATATATATATTAGTTTTAATTTTTAATATCAAATTGACCAAATTAGAGGGGTCCCTCCCTTGAAATAAAACTAATATATATATATATATATATATATATATTAAAAAGAAAACACAAATTTTGAAATAAAACTAAAACTTTGAAAACTTTTATTTCAACCCCTAAACCCACACCGACCACCGCCTTTTGCTGTCGAAGAAGCTCCACTCCCCTCCCCTTGGCGACCAAACCCCCCATAAAATCATGACCGATCGATGGCCGATCAATGATGAATCAACGTTTTATACCCCGCGGACCGTAGGATAAAAATCGCGATTACGACGGTCAATCAATCGATGATTGGTCACGATTTCATGAGGGTTTTGGTCACGAAAGGAATGAGAGATCGGGTGGAGCTTCATCGACAGTAAAAGGCAACGATCGACATGGTTTTAGGGGTTTAAAATAAGGTTTTTAAAGTTTTGTGTTTATTTCAAAATTTGTGTTTCTTTTTAATATATATATATATATAATTTTAATTTTAAATAAATTTTTAAAACTATCAGGTTATGACACGTGTCATTTAATGGTCCGTTACGACCTAACCCAATTTGAGTTACAGAATGAAACGTTAGATACTAAATTAGAACAAAATAAACGTTAAACACTAAACTAGAATGAAAGACATACATTGGACACCTTTAATATGTTAAAGCTTTTTTCAATTTCTTATAGGTTGATCCGGGTTTATTAATAAATTTACATTGTAAATTAAAAAAGTAGGTACTAGCTAGTCATAAGTACCAATGAAAGTTGATTGATGTCAAAATTAACTTCAACGTACATCTGAACGACGATTTTTCTGACTAAGCTTTCATTTCCACCAAAGATTATTTTTCAGTATATTTAGAAACTATTCTCGTGACCAATCATATGTCGAACGCAAATTTCATATACAAATACTTTTAAAAAAATGAAAACTTTTCACACAATTAATTCTATTAGCATTTTGCTGAAGAAGAATCTGGTGTAGATGTAGCAATGGACCGTTTGCTTTCATGAATCCTGACATAAACATTTCTGGTTCTGATAGCCAACAACACATCCAGCCCCAATCCAAGAACGCATGTTATAGCCATAATCACAAACACAAGGCAGTAACAATGTGCCCCAACACACGTGTTACCTCCACCAGCAACCGGAGTGGCCTGGGCATCGTATAGATACCCAGCAAGCAGTCCAGAGAAAAGAAACGATCCCACGGGAAGATTGAGGATAAGTACGTTGTACAAAAGACCATAATATTTCAGCCCGAACAACTCCGAAGCAACCGGGACCGTTATCGTCAACCGGACCCCGTAGCATATCCCGACCAGGATCGATCCGATGTATAGTGAGCCTGGAAAGGAAAAGGCCATGATGATATATCCGATAGCCATTATAACTTGAGATGCTGCATTCCATAGAGGCCTTGGTGTCCCAAATTTCCTGCAAATATCAGATTAATTTTGTTGAGAGGATGAATGGTTTGGGTTTTTTCAGAGGAGCGGGAGAAGAAATTTGATTACCAGATGAAGTATTCGGATAATAAACCTGAAGCAATGCGTCCAAAGAAGCCCCAGATGCTAGTAAGAGATATGAAAATGGATACATCAGAGTATCCGACAGCTATCCCCATTTGTCCCATGTTGTTCATCACACACAGTCCTGTTCCAACACCGCAGAGAAATGAGAAAAATAATAACCAGAAATCGAATGTTTGTAGCATCTCGACCATCGTATGGTCTTGTCCGATTAACGGTTGTTTTCGTTCGGTATACTGCAGCTCAACACCAGCAGTTGTCGTTGTCGGTGTTGTTGTCTTCGACTTCTTTGATTGGTCCTCTAGCAATGGAACTTTCATCGGTTGCTCAATATCGGAATCGGACCTTGGTTTGGACAGAACAGAATATAATGGGATTCCCAATGGAGAAGCTAATAGGATGAGAAGTCCTACTGCAAATACCAATGACAGAAGCTGGCCATGACTTCCAGTGATGTCAAACGCCAAAAGATAGACAGCTAATGTGATAGCTATGCCATTGAAGACGTGGAAATATTGCGTTTCTTGTTCGAATTCACTTGGCTTTGAAGCCGGAGAGGTTTCATGGAGGACGATGGCAGCAACGAGGCAAACAACGGTCGGAACAATGGCTAGAATGAAGAGCAATGTAGAAGGGTCCGAAGAAAAGAGAGCCGTGCATATATCAGTGAATATTGCAGTGCCGAGTCCAAGGTAGCCCTTAAGGATCCCCGACACCGGGCCTCGATTTTTCGGAAAATTCCGCATGCAAGTCACTAGAACCGCCGTGTTCATCCATGTCGTGCTATTGCCTCCCAGACACATAAATATACAAATCTGCAATCGTTCATGTAATACAAAGTTAGCTAAAGCATCGCAGGCAGACACATGACACATCATACATTCATATGCGTCAATATAAGCAGTGTACAACAAGAAGCTTACCTGCCAGTATGGAAGAGGACGAATTCTCTGGCTAACAACAAGCCATTGAGCCCCATATCCTATAAGCCCTTCGAGTGATCCGACGATAAGTAAAACCGACGTCGGCAAACAATCGGAAGCGAAGCCTGAAACGAGTCCGAAAGCCTTGCCGACATCTTTAGCGACCGAAAGGTTATTGAGCTGCAGCTGAGTAAGAGCCATAAGTGATTTCAACGCATGGGAGTAATTAGCAAATGTGTAGTTGTTGCCACAAATTGCCTGAACCCAAATAGCTGCCACCAACCCGACCCATTTTCCGGTACCGGAAGTTGAAAACAGAGGATCCATGTTGTGAAAGGACGAGGAAGAAAGGAAAGAGATACGAAAATGTTGATATGCATGAGCCTTATGGAGAATAATATTGGCAATTGACCATCGATTTTTATAGTTTCCGTTTTACCTTTGAGTATGGTGAGGAAATTACAAAACAGTCGGCTGATGCTTAAACCTTGGTTGGTTTTGAAACCCACGACTGGAACCAGCGGAGAATGGAAACTGTCGGCTTATTTGGTTTGTTTATTACAGTGGATTAACTAGTACATACAATAAATAATAGGGTAAATTATGTGTTTAGTGCCTAAACTATTAATTTTAATCTGTTTTATTACCTAAACTTTTAATTAGTACATACTGTAAATAATAAGGTAAATTGTGCGTTTAGTACATAAACTATTAGTTTTTATCTATTTTAGTATCTAAACTTTTAATTTTTTTAAAATCACACCTAAAGTTTAGTTTTGGTTTCATTTTAGTAAAATTAGTTGACCCTTATTCCCATATGTAATGGGATAAAGGGAGGTAAGATATTAGGTTGCCCTCAACACCAGGTTGAGAGTAGCTTCCGTAGGAGACATCTGAATTATGAAATGCTCTCCGTGAGACTCGATCCCACGATCTCAAGGTTAAGAACCTTATGCTCTACCAACTGAGCTGGATGGTCATTTTAGTACCATCGTTAAAAACTTTTATTTCATTTTAGTACCCGTTCAAAACTTAACATTAAATTTTAAAAAAATTGAAGGTTTAGGTATTAAAATGGGCCAAAATTGATTGTTTAAGTACTAAACACGTTCAGCTTTTAACATAAGGTACTAAAATGAAATGAAAACTAAACGTTAGATATGATTTTAAAAAAAATGAAAGTTTAAGTATTAAAAAAATGATAGTTTAAGTACTAAATGCATAATTTACTCTAAATAATAAATGATTCGCTAATTATGTTTCAGTCCCTCTATTTTGAAATTTTGGATTTAATCTCTAGACATAATTTCGTCCTTCTACTTTTATAATATTATTAGTAGATTCAAATCGAAAAACTTGATTAATTATTTTTCTAAAGTGATATGTGAATTAATTAAACAATTTTAAGGTGTTCAACTTACACCTAAATTTATAAGAGTAAAATACACTCAATATGTACGTATTTGGTAACACACGAGTCATTTTCTTTAAATAAAATATTATAATTTGACCAATAAAATAAAATATTATTATAAACATGTCGTGGCCTTTTAAATATTAGATGAAATAGTGGTTTCAACTTGGTATAATAATTTTAATCTTAAAACTTTTATATTTTATTAATTTGGTCGTGGTTCGAAATAATTTAATAAATTTTACGTTTCATATTTAATTTTTTTATCATATTAGTGTTTGTTCTTCTCTTTTTTTTTTACAATGCGAACTAAATTTCATTAATAAAACGGAGGACTCAAAATTACAATGCATCTAAAAAGAAAATTGGAGACAATGGTCACCAAAAACTCATACATAAAATAAAAATATTAAACCTAAAGATACGAAGAAAATGAAACTTTCTAAACATCAATACAATCCAGTAACCTTCATAAAACTAATTGTTTATGTCGAACGAGACACTTTACGATGTGATAAAAGGAGTGGTGAGCAAACCAAATAATTTGATAGAATAATTCGCTACATAATTCTGATTATATCGGCTAACGACCATTTACAAAAGATGTGATCTAATAATATGTGCCCACCGATAAGCCGATCAGAAAATAAATGTCGTGAGAATCTTTGTAAAACACCAACACGACCACAAAAGTAAATGAAAAACTTATCGAAAACCATAAGGAACATGACACAAGAGCAGAGAAAAACGTGTCACAAAAACATAAATTCTTATTTAAAAATGAGAAAAGTCAAGAAAAAAAACAAAGACATAATATAAAAAAACTAAGAAAATAATAATTATCAACAGTAATAAAAAAATACACTCAATATGTATGTATTTGGTAATGCACGAGTCATTTTCTTTAAATAAAATATTATAATTTGACCAATAAAATAAAATATTATTATAAACATGTCGTGGCCTTTTAAATATTAGATGAAATAGTGGCTTCAACTCGTATAATAATTTTAATCGTAAAACTTATATATTTTATTAATTTGGTCATAGTTCAAAATAATTCAATAAATTTTACGTTTCATATTTAATTTTTTTTATCATATTAGTCTTTGTTCTTCTTTTTTTTTACAATACAAACTAAATTTCATTAATAAAAATGAAAGAATCAAAATTACAACTCATTTAAAGAGAAAATTGGAGACAATGGTAGCCAAAAACTCATACATAAAATAAAAATATTAAACCTAAAGATACGAAGAGAATGAAACATTCTAAACATCAAAACAATCAATAACCTTCATAAAACTCATTGTCTCTGTCGAACGAGACGCTTTACGATGTAAAAGAGTGGTGAGCGAACCAAATAATTTGATAGAATGATTCGCTACACAATTCTGATTATATATACTAACGACCATTTACAAAAAAGGTGATTTAATAATGTGTCAACTGACAAGCCAATCAGAAAACAAATATCGTGAAAATCTTTGTGGAAGCACTAACACGATCGCAGAAGTATGCGAAAAACTTACCGAAAATCATAAGGAACGTAACACAAGAACAGAAAAAAACGTGTCACAAAGACAAAAATTTTTATTTAAAAATGAGAAAAGTAAAAAAAAAGACATAATATAAAAAAAAACATAAAAAATAATAATCACATACAATCGATAATTAATATTAAGATTAGTGTCGCCGCTTACTAACAAAAGACAAAGGAAGAGAACAAAACGTCTTTGTTCTTCTCTCATAAATGTTATATTACTTTATTGATATACTAATAGTTTAACAATAATGTTTTATGGTTGAATGCAGTTAATAGAAATGGTTGTAGGTGTTTCCTTATTCCTTGCAGACTCATCTGGTCCGGTGAAACGGCGTCGTAAGCTTATTTGAGGCCCACTTTGATTTCTCGTGGTAATAATGGCTTCCCTGCATTGTCCCTAGCGTGTGTATATATATATATTCAAAGAGCACCTGTTGTTCAAATCAATACTTCGTCGTTTTCTAATCAGCAACCCATCCCCTTCATTTCAAGTAAAGTACCCAGATTAGATTTGTAACTTATTAGCCCAAAATTCTTCACTTTCTCTAGATCTTTCCTTCCTTGCTTCGTTTCTCTTCGCCGTCGTTCCACCATGGTGCTCGAGGTAATCTGGAACCTCAATTTCCCTTTTCTACCCCAAATTCAAAGCCTTTCCATTTCCTTTCACTTAAAAGGTGTTTTGATCTCAAACTTTTGTGCACTCGCAGGCAACGATGATCTGCATTGATAATTCGGAATGGATGCGGAATGGTGATTACGCTCCCTCTCGGTTTCAGGCTCAAGCCGATGCTGTCAACCTTATTTGCGGAGCTAAAACTCAGGTAAACAGGATTTCGGAAAAGGAAACATTTTGATTTTTTTAAGCAAAAAAAATGTATTTTGAGCTTTTATTGAATTTGGGGATCTAAAAAAGGAAACAATTTGATTGTTCGAGAAGGTTTGAGCTTTTATTGAAATGGAGGGTTTTGTTTACAGTCTAATCCAGAGAATACAGTTGGAGTTTTAACAATGGCAGGAAAAGGTGTTCGTGTTTTGGTCACTCCTACAAGTGATCTTGGCAAAATCTTAGCTTGCATGCACGGTTCGTTTCTTAGCTTATTTTAGCTATATGGATTCCAATTCTCTTAACATTGTACCATAGTATTAAAGTTTCTAAATTGGAGCTTTGGCTTATCAAATCTAGGCTTAGAAATAGGTGGTGAAATGAACTTGGCAGCCGGAATCCAAGTGGCACAGTTGGCGCTTAAGCATCGGCAGAATAAAAAGCAGCAGCAAAGGATTATTGTCTTTGCTGGAAGGTGCGTTTTTGTTATTGCTGTTAGCTGTTAACTGAGAAATGTTCTCTTTCTATGTTTTTGGTTGTGAAGATATGCGTTGATTGCTTGCAGCCCTGTCATGCACGACAAGAAGGCGTTGGAGGTGATTGGAAAGAAGTTGAAAAAGAATAGTGTAGCACTTGATATCGTAAATTTTGGTGAAGATGATGAAGGGAAGACAGAGAAGCTTGAAGCACTTCTTGCTGCTGTTAACAATAATGATACTAGTCATATTGTTCATGTTCCTGCTGGTCCTAATGCTCTCTCTGATGTTCTTATAAGGTTAGTGATTCAGTTGTTTTTTCTCTTTCCGGTATGATAATGGGTTACAATTATGATATTATTGCTGAAGCTGGATATTTCTTGTGTCCATGAAAGTACCCCCATCTTCACTGGGGATGGGGAAGGTGGAAGTGGTTTTGCAGCATCGGCAGCAGCAGCTGCAGCTGGTGGCGTCTCGGGTTTCGAGTTCGGTGTGGATCCCAACCTTGATCCTGAACTGGCCCTTGCTCTTAGAGTTTCAATGGAAGAGGAGAGAGCCAGGCAAGAAGCAGCTGCTAAAAAGGCAGCGGAGGAGGCATCAGAACAAGATGCGACAATGACGGAACATGCCAGTGAGGGACCTTCAGGAGCTGATAATAAGAAAAATGAAATTCCAGTCAGTATCATTATACTCCCTTTTAATCATGTGCCATTTGTAAAAGGGTTATATTATTTTGTCTCATTATTACTTTGTTTGATTGGATAGAGCTGCTTCAAGTGGAAGAATCATTTCATAAAATGGCACATGATTGACCCTTGCATATTCTTTCATGTTTAGACACAACTGAACTTTGCTTTTGTTCCAGGATGATGATAATACTTTACTACAGCAGGCTCTTGCGATGTCAGTGGATGAACCTGCCTCTACCCAAGATTTACAGGATACTGAGATGTCAGATGCAGCTGCTGAGGATCCAGATCTAGCATTAGGTATGTGCGCCTAAGTCCTTTTTTATAAGTACCCGCTGGAGAATCAGCAACATTTATAATAACTGTTCCTTGCCTTGTGAGAAAAACCAGTTACGTAGGTGTTAGGCAAAAGTTCAGGGCTGAACTGATTTCTTTTCCTCCAAAAATTTAGGGGCTTTTTAACCCTTAATCATAAAATGTTCATACCTTTTGTAGCTTACCATGCGACTCAAATCATCTTTCAAAATTAGTTGTCCTTTGTCCCCGAAATTTTTATGCAAGTTTAGACTGTGGATATGTTCCTATTAATTTCTTTTTCTTCGTATGCTGATTTAATCCCATGTATTTCCAATTCTCTCAGCTCTTCAATTATCTGTGCAAGAGAGTACAAAAGATTCATCTAGTGAGGCAGATATGAGTAAATTGTTGGCAGACCAGTCCTTCGTATCCTCCATCCTTGCATCTGTATGTCTGCTGCATTTTCTATTTATCTTTTTTCCCCCCTTGCACCATAGAAAAAATAAAGATCATTAATTTTAAAATAATTACTCGTGCAGCTTCCCGGGGTAGATCCAAATGATCCTTCTGTTAAGGAGATGCTTGCTTCCATGCAAAACCAGTCTGAGGTGAGCTCATCAAACTTAGCGGCTTGATAAAATGATTCTATAGCAGGGATTAGAGGACGTTTTGCACTTCTTGGTGGTTCACGGTTGTATTAAATACAGAGCTATCGGTTCCGTTTAGCTTCAATAATTTCTGATGATGTTTATGGTACTCTCAGTCCCAGCAGAAGCAGGATGAGGACAAGGCACCAGAAAAGAAGGAAGAGAAGGAAGAGAAGGAAGAGAAGTGATGTTTGTTCGGATTTGTTTCTCCTTCAGGTTGCACTCTTTGAATTTGCATACCTCATTATACATACGACCATCAATACATGCTATATATATATATATATATATATTTTAAATTAATCCCTTTGTGCAGATTTGGAAGCTCTTCATTGTAGCCACCAAGATGGATGGTGATAGTGTTATTATTTGTTTCAAAGGCTTTGTAAGCGCTTCAGTAATTTTCATTGAATGCGTCTCATTCATGTTTCCACCAATTCTGTAAAATATATATGTACTATAGAGCGACTATATTCTTATATGTGGAGACTTATTTGCAATGGCATCATTTTCTCGTAACACTTGGTAAAGGAAATTATTGATTGTTATGTTATTTTTTAAAATTAATTTGGGGCAAAGGCAAGGTAATATTGTTCAAAGATAAACTTTTAACTTTTTGACATTGAACGCTCACACTCATGACATCTATGGTGCTCGAAATTGGGTACTCAAAGAATAATAATAATTTTTTATTACGGAGGTCACTTAATTCGTGCTTTACTTATGTTATTTGAATGTGTACGAAAAGAATCTTTTTTTTTTCTCATTCATGAAACACATACATTGAACGGATAGAAACTATGATTTTGTCTGTAAGAGGTATAGTTAAAACCAATGACATATGTGTCGTTTTAGTTTTGTCCGAATCTTATATCTTATATTTGGCATTCACGGATTCATCATTGGGTCCCTCTACTTGAAATGTTACCTCACTTTATTCTCATTGTTTCCCTGAATGTTACCTCACGGATTCTACATATTCAAAACTGGCAAAAGTTGAAGTATAGAAGATGTTCAATGGAAGAACGGTATGCATCAAACTTCTCACATGTACAACGTACATGCATACATACATGCATGCATGGTAAACACAACTTGAGCTGGGTTTTTGGGGTTACTTTGTTTCAGATAAAGGAAGTGAAAGAAAAGAGCTTAACGACAAATCAAGCGAAGTCTGAGATGAAGAAATTGTCATGGAAAGTAGAAGGTAAGAATGGAGAAGAGGCTTCCCCTGTTAGAGGTGGTCCTCTTAACAACTCAACTCTGATAGTGGAGCTTGGTCCAATGGAGATCCGCACTTTCCTATTGAAATTTTATTCAAGTACCGGGATTTAAATTGGGGTTTTGGTCGCGTTTTTGATGTGTCGCGTTTATTGCGATTGCGGACATAATAGATATTATTACGGTGATTACGAATATCACGGTCATATAACAACAGTTTCGAGCTCTAAAGGACGAGTTCTAAACAGGAAACGATATAAGTTCAAGTCTGTTTTTAGCATCATATATATGTACAAAATTCATTTATTGACAATATAAATTATGCTCGTGAATGACGATGAATGATTACTAAATTTGTGTTTAAAAATTAACGAACAAAAGTTTGACCTATATAGAATTAAAGCCTTAGATGGTTGATTGGTAGGTTTTGTTCTCGTGTCCAAAGATATTTAAATAATAATCTCACATTCAAACTTTAAAAAGTAAAATCTCTACTTATTTGAATTTATAATAATTTTTTATTTTTGGTTGCCCTCTCGATTTCAAGGCTTCGTCTTGACTAATCTGGACCGACCCACGGCGTACACTTGGTTTTGGTGGGTGAGTCTCCCAACAGGGATTTTCTGCATACACAAAGACTCGAACCTGAGATCTTGCTTAAGCGAAATCAAGCTGTTTACCACTTGAACCAACTCATGTCGGTAATAATTTTAGTTTATTACTTTCTCTAATTTTATATTGAATCATAGTTTCATATTTTTAAATTAATAGATATTTTTTTACATGCATATGTATGTCTCAAACATTGATAGAATGAATTGATTTATGTTCGCAATCTTTTGAATATCTTGTCAAATGAATTAGTATACAATTAATTCTAACCCATATATTTTAGATTCTTTATTTCATCAAATGAAATCTAGAAGTTGAACCATTGGTTGAATAAAAAAAGCATTATTAAAAACTCAATCCCCTTATACATCCTCCTAAAGATTTGCTAGTTTCTAGTTAAATTATTGTTTTTATGACTTAGTCCTAAATTGGTTCTATTTCGTTATTTGGTCGATATTTTCGATTTGAGTAGCTAGCTTTTGGATTGTTAATTTTAATCATTGTTTAGGTTATTTTTAACAATTCTCTATCCGATCTTTATTTCGATTTTGTTTACTTCGCATATATGTCACCGTATTTATTTTACCCTTCATTTTAGTCCTTCGTGATTAATGCAAGAAAATGTGTTTAATTTGTACTTTTTAATCCTTTAATTCCCACTTCATATACATGAGTCGTTATTCTAATTTTACATACATACATATATATATATATATATATATATATATATATATTAAATATTAATGTATCTATCAAGCATTTGTAATTATTTAGTTTTATATAAACTTTAATATGGTGTTTGATTTTCGCATTCTGTTTTTGTACTTCGTGGATGTATATTATTTTGTGTTATATGTATGTATATACATTTATATATGTTTCTTAACCATCATATGCTTTTGTGTATTGTATTTTTATTTTTATGTTATTTATTTATTTTAATTTATAAAATGTCCATTTATCATTTTTACTTAATAATGATGTATTTTGAATATTTTATCTAAATATCTTCAAGAACACATATTTGTAGAACGGGCGTGAAAAGTATCACTTGATCGAAGTGATACAATCTAATACGACGTTTGAACGAAATGAGACTTGAAATAAATTAGTTTATGTTACTAATTAAATCTTTTATGATTCATTGTGTTTTTTATATAGCAATTTAATTTGTGCAAAGGTCGATAGCCAATTTATATTTGATTCTCATCTTTTAAATCAATGAGGATGGAAGATTCTTTTACAAATAAGAAATAGTTGAAATAGATTTCCCGATGGAGGATTGCGAATTTTAAGATTTCTTATCGTGTAAAAGGATTTTCTTTAAATAATTAACTCGAAGCAAATTAATCAAAGTTTAATAAATGAATCATATTTTAATTTTATATTCGATTCCTAATTTTCACCATTTACGACAACGTGTAAGCTACATAGTATCAATTTTGGGTGCTATGGGATGCTAATCCTTCCCCACGCATAATTTACTCCAGAATCCATTTAATTGAATATTTGATGGCGCAAATTAATTTTTGTCTTCTAAAATGATTTTTCTTAAAATTGTTTTAAAATACGTTTTTAGTTATTCGACTTACCTAACCCAAAGATCGATGGCGACTCCCTTTCTATTTAATTCAAATCAATTCAAAACCGTTAATTTTCCAAATAAAAATCATAATTATTTTTTAAACTTAATTATTTTAAAAAAAATGGTTACGACACCCATTGTTTCCCTCAATCCTTTTTAAAGTCAAGAAAATCCATTTATTTAATCCCCATTAATAACTTCCTATAAAGTGAGCTTTGGCCGGCTGCCAGCAAATAGCCCGCAGTTGGTTTGTTTTGTCTTTTTTGTTATTTCCATTTATGATGCTTGGAACTGTCTGCTCGGTTTTTATAAATGTAACAATGACATTGACAACAATGCGGAGAACTGGATTATTGCTGTGAAAAGATGAAGAAAATGATCCAGCATGAGATTTTTTCGGCTTCAGCTTTTGTTGTTCTTGTTTGTTGTTTTTATGTGAGGACAGTTGAAGGAGTTTATGTGAAGTACGATACCGGAGCCCGGATCGTTCCCGGGAAACTGAACGTTCATTTGGTTCCACATTCACATGATGATGTTGGTTGGTTGAAGACTGTTGATCAGTACTATGTTGGATCAAACAACAGCATTCAGGTTAATTGATATATTTTTTTAGCAGTTCACCATGTTAATGTTGCTATTGCTCTGTGGTGTTCGATGATTTTAAGTGATTTTATTGTGCAGGGTGCTTGTGTTCAGAATGTGCTTGACTCGGTTGTCAAAGCATTGCGTAGCGACCCGAATCGAAAATTTGTTTTCGCTGAGATGGTAAATCCATCCAGTTCATCATATTGGAATCTGTTTCCTCGCTTGTTTCTCTTCTAGTTTTGAGTTTGATTGTTACTCGGCATCGAATAATGAAGTTTGATATGAAAATAGGCTTTTTTCCAACGGTGGTGGACAGAACAAAGTCCGGAAATACAAGAACAAGTGAAAAAACTTGTAGATGCAGGGCAACTGGAATTCGTGTATGTTGATTCCCAAGCAACTTGATATCTGAGGTTTTGATTTTTACATATATATTGAAACCGGCCTTTTGGGATGTATTTGCAGTAATGGTGGTTGGTGTATGCATGATGAAGCTGCAACACATTACATAGACATGATCGATCAAACTACTTTAGGTCATCGCACAATAAAGGAACAGTTCAACACGGTTCCTCGAGCCGGATGGCAAATAGATCCTTTTGGTCATTCTGCTGTGCAAGGCTACCTCCTTGGTGCTGAGGTGCATCTCAATAATTTAGTTGCTTTTTGTTTTCACCATTTAATCTGGAGAATAACACATCTTGGGTGATTACATTGTTCCTGCAGGTAGGCTTTGATTCAATGCATTTTGCAAGAATTGATTACCAGGATAGAGCACAAAGGAAGAACGACAAATCTCTCGAGGTCATATGGCAAGGATCCAACACTTTTGGTTCTTCATCTCAGGTTTGGAATTGAAAAATCCTGCAATTTTAACCTCTTCTTCTGAAAAGGAGTTTCATTGAATGAATAGTTTACTTGTTGGACTATCTGTAGATTTTTGCAAATGCTTTTCCCGTTCATTATAGTCCTCCAGAAGGTTTCCATTTCGAAGTGAATGATGACTCTGTGCCTGTCCAGGTTCTGTAATGTTTTAACAAAGTTTATGTGATCTATGTACCGACTGCTTTCGGGTTATGTGTTCGTCATGTATTTACTTTCCACAACTGCAGGATAACCCTCTTCTATACGATTACAATGTTGAACAGCGGGTTAATGACTTTATTAACGCTGCAATGATCCAAGTAAACTATTTGTTCCTTTTCGGGTTTTATTGTTTTTCGAGTTGTGATGTTGGAATCATGTTGGCTTATATCTTCCTAGGTGAACCATAAGCATTCGTATGACAGTTTTTATGTCTCCTTTATTCTGTCTATAGGCCAATGTGACAAGGACAAACCATATTATGTGGACAATGGGAGATGATTTCCAGTATCAATATGCCGAAACTTGGTTCCGACAGATGGACAAATTTATTCACTATGTTAACAAGGTAGTTCTCATGACGAAATCGATTTAATCACTAAAATTTTCAGAATTATAGCTTCCGAGCTTGAATTCACCTTTGATGCACAATGGATTGTTTCAAACTACATGTTTAAATAACTAGAGAAATCTGTGATTGCAGATATAAAATTAGTTTAAGTTTCCACTTTGTCTTTCTTTCTCAATATCACTATTTTTCTGCTCCATTTCCTCAGGATGGCAGAGTTAATGCATTGTATTCTACACCATCCTTGTATACTGACGCAAAAAATGCTGCAGATGAGCCATGGCCAACTAAAACCGATGACTATTTTCCGTAAGCACTCCATGTTCTTCTCCTTGTCGTTGTTCTCGTCTTCATATGCTTTATCACTTCTTTTCCAGTTAACCTGGGCTAGTCTACTACATATATGCTTGTCTGATCTGATGATTCTTGGCAGTTATGCTAGCAGCCAAAATGCTTATTGGACCGGATATTTCACAAGTCGGCCAGCCTTTAAACGATTTGTTCGGAAGCTTAGTGGATATTATCTGGTATGACATCAAAATAACTCCTGGGGCAGCAATGTTGAAACAGAACGACATAATGAGGAACTCATTTCCTCAAAACCTTTATAGATTGCATTTGCTTGAGGAAACCCTGAACCTACCACGACTTTTGTATATGAGTTTCAATTTATAATTGTCCATGTCAATGTAAAAATGTTTGCAATGGACTGATGGAGCCTCTTTGTGCATGTTGTTATGGTACAATCGAACTGAAAGTTTTGGTATATTTGAATAGGCAGCAAGACAACTTGAATTCTTGGTGGGAAAGAGAGCCAATGGTTCCAATACATTTCGTTTGGGAGATGCTCTAGGTATTGCACAGCACCATGATGCCGTCAGCGGTACTGCCAAACAACATACAACCGATGACTACTCGAAACGCCTTGCAATAGGAGTCACTGAGGTTGGCAACAAACTTCCTCCTTACTTCGACCCCATTGGTTGTTTTCGATTTCATATCCTGCAGTATTATAAATGTCAGATTTCTATTTTTCATCACTGAAAATCGAACAAGTTACAGGCCGAAGCGGTTGTATCTTCCGCTCTCTCATGCCTAACCAAGAAAAATTCTGGAGGTAAATGTGAAGAATCTGGAAATACATTCAGCCAGGTAAGACATTAAGAGGTGTTAATGTCTCCTCATATTGTAAATATCTGAGATTTTCTTTATTCGAATTTCGATATCTTACTTTGAAAAGTTTAGTTTCCTTTCTTTGTCTGACACTGCAACTTCCAACCATTTCAAACAGTGCCAACTACTCAACATTAGTTACTGTCCACCAACAGAGAAGGATATTCCACAAGGGAAGAGCTTGGTAATTTTTCTGCATTGTTCTTTCTTTTTCTTCAAGAAATCATTTTTTTTATTTCATTAATTGGTTTTTTTTTTTTTGAAAATGATCACTTTCAGGTGGTGGTTGCATATAATCCTATTGGATGGAATCGCACTGAAATTGTTAGAATACCAGTGAGTACATTTTGACACTTTATCTTTCTGGTTTCTGTTGATTTAGTATAGGTGTAACTTTTCGGTCCCGTCTTGAACCATTTACAGGTTAACGACGCCAATCTTATCGTCAAAGATTCTTCTGGTAATAACATTGACGTACAATATATAGCTTTGGATAATGTTACAAGAAATGTACGGGAGTTCTATACAATGGCTTACTTGGGACAGTCCTTGGGTACGGCTCCAAAGTACTGGCTACATTTTCAAGTATCTACACCACCACTGGGCTGGAATACTTACTTCATTTCTAAAGGAGCTGGTAAAGGTAGAAATTTCGCTTTATTCAATTCTGGCACCAGACTGCTGTTGAAGTCTTGATGTTGTATGCGAAAATGAAATTTCGTACATGACTGTTCTATCTTGTTTGTTACAACAATGGTGTAGGACGACGCACTGCTGGAATAGTCTCAGCGATGCCACAAAAAGGGACAATTGAAGTTGGAAAGGGAAATCTAAAGATGTCTTTTTCTACTATTTCTGGCCAACTCCAGCGGATGTATAATTCTCGAACTGGAGTAAGTTGTTTGTAGTTTCCAGACAATAATCATTATATGCAGCAGTGCAGAATATTTGATTTTTCCATTTCACCAGGTAGATGTACCAGTGCAGCAGAGCTACCTGTGGTATGGTTCAAGCCCTGGTGATTCTGATCCCCAGGTAAGCAATAACTGCACTCGGATTTCAAATGAAAGAGTTCATGTCGAGATCGTAAGAGCCTGTTTAAATTCCAGTCTTATAACGACGATCAATCTTACAGGCATCTGGTGCATATATATTCCGGCCTAATGGCTCACCTCCAACTGTTGTTTCACGATCAGTAAGCCCCTCATAGAGCGTTTTCATCAGACCACTGGTCAAATAAATTCTAATATGCATTATCCCCGGCAGGTGCCATTGAGGGTTACTCGTGGTCCCATAGTTGATGAAGTTTACCAACAGTTTAATGAATGGATACACCAGGTCATTACTTTCTTTGAGTTTTCTTTAGTTCTTCCCTCCCACAAAAGTTGCTAATTTTTCTATTTATGTCCATTCATTAGGTCACCAGACTTTTTAAAGACAAAGAGCATGCTGAAATCGAATTCACTGTAAGGCAGTCTAAAACGAATTCGAATCTTATCATCTATATTTTCTTTCTTTTCCGTCAAATGAATTTGAACCGTCTGTTATCGAAAGCAATGCCTGAGGTGAATGATATCTATTGTCTATAAAGTAAAATGTCGTTATTTCTCTAATTGATTGTTGCAAAGTGTTCATGTTTTATTTTGAAGATTGGTCCGATCCCCATGGACGACGGTGTGGGGAAAGAAATCATTGCTCGGCTGACAGCGAATATGGTCACAAACAAGGTGTTTCATACTGATTCTAATGGGAGAGACTTTCTAAAACGGGTAATTTCTGAAATATTCCTTCAGTTTGAGAATCTGAAAGTCTTTACGTGAAGATCACACGCATCTCAACATATCATAATGTTTCTTGTTGTTGGCTGGTTTGATCTTGAGTGCCAGCCTGAAATGTTAGATCATGGTTCCATTTCAGGTACGAGACTTCAGAGAAGACTGGAACCTTACAGTTACTCAACCTGTAGCAGGAAATTACTATCCAGTAATATTCTCAACTCTGGTTTACAAGTCAGAATTTACAGCCATTACTTAGCTAGTTTACTAGTCGAAATTTACGATCAGTACTTAGTCATAGGCTTGGCCAGCAGGCCAAAGTTGATGCAAAATGCTCCATGATATCTTGCTGTGAGTACTGACTCGGTTAAATGACACACATTTTTCCAGATTAACCTAGGAATTTATACGGTGGATAAGAAATCCGAACTATCCGTGTTGGTTGATCGTGCCACCGGAGGATCAAGTATTAAAGATGGAGAAATAGAATTCATGCTTCACAGGTTTCCACATTCAGCTTTCAAACATTCCATACATCTGTGTCCAATGTATGCTGACGAGGCAACATAGATTCTCACTCATGATACGTGCATTTTAACGAAAATACAAACCTGCTAAACTATCTTTTCTTTCTTAGGCGGATGATCGATGATGATTCCAAAGGAGTAGGCGAAGCCCTTGACGAAAGTGTCTGTGCGGGAAGCACATGCGAGGGACTTACGGTACACTCTACTGAAATGTCTACTTCTTATCAATATTCAACCGACATTCCCAACTGAAATGTTGCTTGGTTGTTCATCGAACTTCTGAAACCGGCTCAGATTCGAGGGAATTACTACGTTAGCATCAACCGGAAAGGAGAGGGTGCACAATGGCGTCGAACGACCGGTCAAGAAGTTTACTCGCCACTTCTTTTAGCTTTCACGCATGAGGTAACACGGCAACTTGTTGTGCCACACACGTCCAACTATAGGATGCAATTAACTGTAAACAATGATTGATCATTCAGAAAACGGAGACCTGGAAATCATCCCATTTGACAAAGGCAACTGCCGTGGATTCGGGGTACGCTTTACCGCTCAACGTTGCGTTAATCACTCTTCAGGTGACAGTTCATGCATATGCAACTTTTCTACTCCATACAGCTCTCTTCCTTTCCTCTAAAACCAGCAGTTTCTTCTGCAGGAACTGGATGTCGGAACTACTCTAGTCCGTTTAGCACATTTGTACGAAGTAAGTAACTCGATATCCGATTCCGTAATTCATTCGAGCACACAGTGAAACAGTTCTGCTGAACACATTTCAATTTTCAAACATCCGGTGTATGTTTCCATTAGGAGGGCGAGGATTCTACATATTCAAAACTGGAAAAAGTTGAACTAAAGAAGATGTTCAATGGAAGAACGGTATGCATCAAACTTCTCACATGTACAACGTACATGCATACATACATGCATGCATGGTAAACTAAACTTGAGCTGGGTTTTTGGGGTTACTTTGTTTCAGATAAAGGAAGTGAAAGAAACGAGCTTAACAACAAACCAAGTGAAGTCTGAGATGAAGAAATTGTCATGGAAACTAGAAGGTGGGAATGGAGAAGAGGCTTCCCCTGTTAGAGGTGGCCCTCTCAACAACTCAACTCTGATTGTGGAGCTTGGTCCAATGGAGATCCGCACTTTCCTATTGAAATTTTAATAACCACTGTATCCCCACTTCCAAATAATAAAATTTTAAATATAATATAAAAATTAAAATAATATTATTATAATAAAATAATTAAAATAAACTTTTAAAGTGTAATTTATTAACGAATTTAACAAAATTTTAACAAATAGATGCAGTAAATTTATTAAGACTTGATATAAGATTAAGTTCCTAAACTATATTCAAAATTTATATTTGGTGTCAAACTTTTTTTTTGTTAAAATAGATGGTTAAAATTTTCTTTGTTATACTTGCAGGTGTCTATCGTTAAAAAAACGTTAAATGACACGTGTCACATTCAGATTTCTTAAAAAAACATTTTTAAATAATATTTTATTTAAAAAATATATATAAATGTAACATGAGTCACTTAAAATTCTTTTTTAACGGTAAATACGAAAAAAAATGTAATGAAAAAAATATTAATACCTATTTTTTATATTTTTAATAAAAAAATTAAACACTAAAAATTAAGGGTAAACTACACAAAGGTTACTAAATTTTGAGTAAGTTTTCATTTTCCCCACATAACTTTCAAAAGTTATATACTGATCACTAACGTTATCGATTTGTAACAAATCAATCATTCGTCATTAGTCACGGTTAATGTGGGTGACGAAAAGTTGAGTTGGGCTGCTAACCGCTTGCCTGGATCCATTTTACCACACGTTAGACTTTCCAAAGCTTTTGACTAGTGTTCTTCCCCGTTCTTTTTCTTCTCTCTTCTTCCTTGTTGGAGAAGTTGAAACAACAGACATAACCATATTAAACCTCCAGCTTGAAACAAGGAAAACAATGAATGAAATCAAAGCAAAGCAGTTTTAAAATTTTGTACACTTTTTTACCCTCAGAAAAACATTTCTTTTCAAAAATTCCTATGACTTTGTATTTGAGAGTCGAGAGAAGAAGAAGAATGGGGAAGAACACAAGCCAAAAGTTTTGAGAAGTCAAACGTGTGGTAAAATGGGTTTAGGTAAGCGGTTAACAGTCCAACTCAGCTTTTCGTCATCCACGTTAACGACGACTAACGATGAGTGATTGATTTGTTACAAACCGATAATGTTAGTGACCAAATATAACTTTTGAAAGTACAGTGGAAAAATTGAAATTTTACTCAAACTTTAGTGACCATTGTTGTACTTTTCCCAAAAATTAATTCTAAATATAATTTTAATAGTTATTTTTGTATTAAGCCTTTTATCAAAAACACAACTATCATATTTATAGAGGAAAAAGGAAATGGGCAACCCATATCTAATCTTATTGAACTTACGCGGGATATCCAATACAGTTTATAAAGAGCAAAAATAAGAACAAAAATACTTAGTTTCGAAGATTCGTATCGTAGCTGAAGATAGTTTTAGACTTTTAGGTTTTGTTTAAGTGTGGTTGAAACAAATACTAAGGAAAGTGCTCCTAATTGTTTAAGTGTGATTTTCGTTTTATAAGGAGCATGGTTCCAATATAGTGAAGGTAATTGGGTGTTTGGGAAAAAATGGAATTTAGAAGGAAAAAAATTGGGTCAATTAGATATAAAATCATTGTTCAATAGCTTATTTTGATATTTTAGCAGTAGTTTAGAGGTAAAACGAAATATTAACCTTTTTGTTAACATTGTCACATCATCAATTTAACAGAGATGATGGTGGAGTGATCATTTTGTTATAAATCGATAATGTTAGTGACCATTTAGTTACAAATCAATATAATTTGTGACCGATTTGTTACTTTCAAAACTCTAGCGGGGAAAACGAAAAATTACTCAAAAATTAATGACCATTGGTGTAGTATGCGCTATTCGTTTTTATTAAAGTTTTTCCTCCTTTTGGGCTTTCATTAAGTTGAAGCTCTATACGAAAAAACAAAGGTTCAGCAACTCTGTTAGAGAGGTTATAGCAAAAGTAAATCTAAGGAATAGAAGAAAATGGCGAGATACGACAGAGCGATAACGGTGTTCTCGCCGGACGGCCATTTGTTCCAAGTCGAATATGCCCTCGAAGCTGTCCGTAAGGGTAACGCCGCAGTTGGTGTACGCGGCACTGACATCGTTGTCCTTGGTGTCGAGAAAAAATCCGCCGCCAAACTCCAGGACTCCAGGTTTCTATTATCTCTGTGCTACCCCTTCACTTCACTTCCCTTTTCATTTCTGTATCTCAAACATCGATTCTTACAGCTTTTTTGTTAAAAAAAAATAGGGTTAGGGTTTTATGATTTGGATTTGGAACTAAAAGATTCAACATTTTTTTAGCTTAAGCCTTGGGATTTTCTAGAGAAAAATATTCTTTACCCCATTTAAGGAAAACTCGTTTTTATGAAGGATTATCTTGATGATATAGAAAGTAGAAACCTTAGCAATTATATGATTAAAACATGCAAGGAAAACTCTAGAGTTTTCAAATTTCCTAAAATTGGGGAACCTTTTTACACTTTTACTGCTTCTTTTGTGTAGATCGGTTAGGAAGATTGTGAATTTGGATGATCACATTGCATTGGCATGTGCTGGACTCAAAGCAGATGCTCGTGTCCTCATAAATAGGGCTCGGATCGAATGTCAAAGCCACAGGCTGACTGTTGAAGATCCGGTTACCGTTGAGTATATTACTCGTTATATTGCAGGTCTTCAGCAGAAGTATACTCAAAGTGGAGGTGTTAGGCCGTTTGGTCTCTCTACTCTGATTGTGGGATTTGATCCGTATAGCGGTGTGCCATCACTATATCAGACAGATCCGTCGGGTACATTTTCCGCTTGGAAAGCTAATGCAACTGGGAGAAACTCAAATTCAATTCGGGAATTCCTAGAGAAGAATTATAAGGAGACCTCTGGGCAAGAAACCATTAAGCTTGCAATTCGTGCATTGCTTGAGGTAAGTTTCATTGGCTGATTCTTCATGTGTTAACTTTTACTTTGCTTTCAAGTGTTTTCCATTTTGCCATTCCATGTCCATTTGTTGAATCCACAGAGATATGAATTAAATCTAAATTTAGCTTGTAAAACATTCCCTGCATTCCATATGTATCATGGCTTTTGAACATCATGTATGCAATCTTTATGCCTTGTAAAAACGATTTGGCTTAACGACTCATACTGTTAGAAAATGGAAAATGCCTGGATCAAAATCATGAAATGAAGCAAAACACTCAATCTGAACATTGATTATATTCATGTTTCAAGAGAAAGTTCTTATTTCATAGTTGTTTATTTTGAACACCGCAGACACCTAGGGTAAATGTTTTGAGTATAGTGTGTGGAATATTATGTTGTAATTGTTTTTATCATTGCACTGCTAATTTGAGCCATGACCGCAATAAAGACTTGCATGGTGAAAGTATATTTTGCTAGATTTAAGAAGAACAGCGTCTGAGGTTTAGTTGTCTGGATAGGTCAAAGACTGTCTTTTGCCACTAAGAAGTCCAACATCAGATTTACGTGCAGTCCATTATGTGTCACTAATATGGTAAAGATGAATGTCATATGATGAATAATAATGATTGATTGTGTTTGTCCCTTTCATGTAGGTTGTTGAGAGTGGCGGAAAGAACATTGAAGTTGCTGTGATGACTAAGGAGGGTCTGCGGCAGCTTGACGAAGCTGAAATTGATGCAATTGCAGCAGAGATTGAAGCAGAGAAGGAAGCTGTTGAGGCTGCAAAGAAGGCCCCTCCAAAGGAAAAATGAAGCATCAGCTGTTAACTTTTCATTTCTTTTGCTATTTTCTTCTATTCGACTGGCTTTGAAGTTTGTTTCATTGTACACATGAGGGATTTGTTTACCATTGGTTATTTCAGTTAAGAATTTCAACACTTTCCGGAGGTTGAAGCTATTTCTGCAGGTTTTATTTGCTTTTAAGATTGCTTCGATACTATAAGGAAATTGCAGATGTGAAACTTGCAAGGAAAGAAATCAGAATTTGGACCTTGTAGGTCTCAAACATGGCGTTATTAGTACTCTGTTCTAACCAACTGAGCTAGTGGGCCATTTGATGCACTTTAAATTTACAAAAACATGAAATTTGACAACATAGAAACTACTAGACTTAGTCTTGAAATAGATTAAGAATGTATCACTAATTGTAATATAATAATTGCAAGTTGATGTAAGAAAAAAAATATAATATAAAAAAATCATTATATAAATAAAAAACATTAATAAGTTATTGTTATACCTCTCAGAATATCTCCAAAAACAATTAGCTCTTTACCTTTCAGACAACTTCATATAGATAGCTGTACTCACTAGAGTTTTCAAAGAATTTATATCCTCTGAACACAAATTTTTATATCACTAACAGTTTATAAACTATACTCCTGGACAAAATTTCTGAACAGGTTCACATGACCTATCTTGGTATATAAAGTTGATATTATAAAAAAATGCCTACCTAAAATTATTATTTTTATTATAAAATATTAATATTAAAATAGTAATATCTTAATGTGCATCATCATCATAATCATAATAATAATAATAAATTGAATAGTATAACCACTTACATAATTACATCTGTTAAAGTTATTTTGTAGTGGTTTGAATGTTTTCTGTAACATCCTCCATACCGGGTTAGTGATCAAATTGTGAAATTTTAAAAATTCAGTGATCAAATGGGATAAATTGAAAAGTTCAAAGAATTTATTTAAATGTTTGGTGTAGGATCAATTAGCAAAGAAGGTGGAATTAAAGGGGCAAATGAGTCTTTTGTTAAGGAAACAATTAAATATTAATTGATGAGATTTTATAAACCACGTGGAAGCTGGTGAGAAAGACCAAAAGTTTCCAGATTTCTCTTCTTCTTCTTTCTTCTTCTTCTTCCCCGTGAGACCAAGCTAAAGGTGAGTTTTCTTGTTAATCAAATTCTTGATGAATTTAAGGTTGCTTATTGATCATTAGATGATAACTACGCTTAAGGAAAGCTTTGGTTATCTTAAAACCATAAGATGATGGGTTAGGAAGGATTAAAGAAAGGAAGTAAAAAAGTAAAATCTTGGAATAAAGTTCATAATAAGAATTAGAAGTGGGATTTGACTTGTCATTAAGCTAATTAAAGGATATGAAGTGTTATAATTCGATTTAGAACATGTTGGAAATTGAATGAAATTCTTAAATTTTATATGGAGAATTGGATTTCTAAGTTTTAAAGGTATCGAATGGATAATAATTAGTTTAAGTAAGTGTATGCAAGTTAGGGATATAAAGGAGGTGAAATATAAAGTGTAGAGAAGATTATAAAGAGATCTTCGTGCTTAAAATGACATTTCTGGGCTATATGCATCGATGCACATTCAATGTGCACTGATGCATCAAGGATAAATCCCAGAAATTGTTCAAGGTGTATCGATGCACATGAAGTGCATCGATGCACTCTTTTAAAATACAAACATCGAATGCCATTAGTGCATCGATGCATAAGGAGTGCATCGATGCACCCCCTTAAATATAAACATCGAATAGGATTTATGCATCGATGCATGGTGTGGTGCATCGATGCATACCTTCATTAAAAGATGAAAATTTCTTTTCTTTTAGCCCAAGAAATGATAGTTTAGAATACCTTAATTAGTATACTAATTAGCATCAATGAATTACTCTGTAGATACTGAGCCTAAACAAGTTCCAGAACAATTGTCTCATAAGATCGATCGAGGAAAAAGCAAGGAAATATAGGTGAGTGCATATGCATAGCATGAATATAGTATTCTATTCAGTTCTAGACTTGTGATAAGTCTAGATTCAATATTTTGATACATGATCGCATTTCATATTATGATACATGACATGAATTCATATTATATGCATTAAGTGACATGAATATGCAGGAAATGTTATAAAAGCTATGTGATAAAGTGATAGAACATGATATGTTCATGTGATAAAGGAATGGAAATTATATGTCTATACAATATAAATTATGGGAATGGTGAAAGCCCATGTTATGTAGATAAGAACTATAGGTATAGTTAGCATGCCAAGAGTAGAGGGTCTACGCAGTCCTTCGGGGTATATATGTATTCTTTGGAATATGTGTGAGTTCTTTTAAGACACATACTTGATCCTTGGCATATGTATATGATTCTTAAGGAAATTTTCTATGTGGTCCTTAGGGATAATCTTATATGGCATTACGGTGCAATTTATGCGGCACTTCGGTGCAATTCTACGTGGCACTTCGGTGCATTTATACGAGCTGTGGTGACAACATAGTGCACAACCTCACAGTACTCACATACCTTAGGTTCTCAGTATTGTATCATGGGCTAATAATCTTACTAATATGAATTCATGAATGTTAATATATTATGCTTACAGATAAAAACATGGTGATATAAACTGCATGGTTAAGCATTTGATTTCGTCTCATTCCATTTAATTATGGCATTTCCATTACATTTCTTTGTTATCCTTATTATTATATTGCCTCACTAAGTCGATGACTTAGCGTGTGAGTGTTTCACACGTAGGATTCGAGAAAGTAGACGATCAAGGTTAAGTAGCTAGACAACATTACTCCTGCAACTATCAGATCAGAGGCAACTTGAGCAGTAGGTCCTTTTGTTATGTAAATGAATGTTGACATGTAATCAAAGTGTCAAGTGATGTATGCTCTAATTATTTTGATAAACTTGTATTAATATATGTATAGTATTGTATTTTAATAAAATAAGTTCGAATGTTTTATCAGTTTTTTTTTAAATATTGTTTTGTTTAGTCAATGTGACATCCTGGACTCGTATTCGGGTCGGGTATGGGTTGAGGGTGTTACATTTAATGGTATCAGAGCCATGGTTTAGCCGATTCTAGGCATAAACCAAAGTCTATAGAGTCTTTAAATGGAATACATGCCAATAATAGTGAGAACTTCTGATATGGTATAGTATGAGTATGTTGTTTTGCTAATAGAACAATGTGTTTATTTTATTAGATGTCCGGACATAGTAGCTCCCGAAGTGAAGCGGGAGAAGATAGGTCTACTGAAAGCAGTAATTCACCTGCCCTGGCCCGGCATCTCAGGAGTGCCTGTACAAGATCAAGACACTTTCTTCAGGACGTTGGACGCTATTCTGACGCATCTTCAACCTCCTGCCCCACCAACTCAAGGAATGAATGTAGCAAAAGAGTTGAGAGGTTTAGGAGCTCCCGAATTTAAGGGAGAAGTCGAGGAAGGGTCGGTTGCGGTGGATCTTTGGCTAAATGACTTGAAAATCATATTGGATGGTCTCTACTGCTCTGAAGTGGAGAAGTTAGATGGAGCTGTCTCTTTACTGAGGGGTCAGGCGAGGATATGGTGGACGAACGTCACCATGAGGATGTCAAGTAACCAATTAACTTGGTCTTTGTTCTTAGATGAATTTAAAAACAAGTATATTGGAGATCAATTTATTCGGCAGATGAAGCAGGAGTTTATGAACTTGAAACAGATGAACCGCTCTATATATGAATATAAATGTGAGTTCAACAAGCTGAGTAGGTTTGCATCTGAGCTTGTGCCTACTGAAAAAGAGGCTTGTGAATGGTTTGTGGAGGGCTTATGCCCCAGATTGAAAGAGATGTTGATAGTATTGAATTTATCCTCGCTTCAAGAGGTGATCAATCGTGCCAAGGCTCTTGAAAGAGCTCAGAATGAGAGATTTTGAGACTCAAGAGTTCAGACATCAAAGAGGATGGGTGCTTATTCTAGCTCAGCACCAACAAAAAGAGGAAGAGACTCAGGATTTCGATCACAAGCTAGATCAGAATCAGTTGCATCATCTGCTAGGGGAGCAAGTCAGGCAAGACCTAGACAGACACAGTCAGTGGGATCTGGTGTTGGGAGGTATACTCTGAGTCAAGCGAAACAGTGTCAGCACTGTGGGAAAAACTATTCTGGGGCTTGTCGGATGGTTGCTGGGACTTGTTTCCGATGTGGAGATGCCGGACATTTTATCCGGATTGTCCATTGATGGTTAGTGAGCCTGCACCATCTGAAAGAGTTGGTTCTGCCACACAAAGAGGACGAGGAAGAGGCAGATGAATGAATCAGTCTGAATCCTCTGCTCAACCTGAAGTTCGGTCAACCGCACGGGTGTACAATCTAAAGACAAGTGAAGACCGTTATGACCCTGATATTACAGCATTTACTTTTCAGCTGTACGATAAATTAGTATCGGTACTGATTGATCCAGGCTCTAATTATTCTTATATTATGAGTAAGTTAGTAAAGGAATTGAGGATTCCCTTAGAAGCTATGAGTAATGAGATTATAGTAACTAATCCTTTAGGTCATAGTGCTCGGGTGAACAAAGTCTGTAAGGGGTGTCCCATAAAGATTCATGGAATTGAATTCCCTGTTAATCTGATGGAATTACCCTTTGACAAGTTTGAAGTGATTCTAAAAATGGATTGGTTGTTCCGTTACTATAGAGATATTAATTGTAGATCGAAAAAGGTAACCCTAAAAAGTCCAAGAGAAACAAAATTAAGTGTGAGTAGTGAAAGGTTTAATCCTTTAGCAAATGTAATATCAGTAATATCTGCTAAGAAGCTATTGTTACAAGGATGTCAGGGTTTTCTTGTAAATGTGATTGATACAAGAGCTAAAGAAAAAGTATTGAATGAGATTTTAATAGTTCGGGAATTCCTTGATGTTTTCTCGACTGAGTTGCCAAGATTACCTCCAAATAGAGAGGTATAATTTCAAATTGAAGTAATGCCGGGAACAGCTCCGATTGCAATGACACCTTATCAGATGGCTCCGAAAGAATTGCAATAGTTAAAGAATCAATTGCAAGAGTTGTTAGAAAAGGGATTTATTCGACCAAGTGTGTCGCCT